AAAGTTTAAAATACTCATACAGTAGCTATTATATAATTTTGTTAATTTTATACTATTCATTCCACGAAAATAACAACTATATTAGAAAATACAGGTATCCTTGCTCATGATAAATAAACAATTAGTTCATCATTTAATTATATCCAGGTTTAGAGAAGAGGATATTAACATTCTCAGTATATCAACAATAAACCCCCTCCCTAATAACCTCAGAACCACTAACTCGGCGCCCACGGATCCCACAATTTTGGAAGAAACACTCTTGCTTATCAGAACTATGTACTTATCTCATTTATTTCAAACAAAGAAGAAAAGAGAAAGAGATCTTCAAAAAAAAAGCACTAAATGAACAGTTAAACCCCAGCAAGTGGCCATAAACCTTGAATATCATTAGTTTGAAAAACACAGTCTAGTATGATTATACCATGCACTTGCCCCCTACCCCCTTCCCTTTTATGATTTTAATACTTTAGAATCTACACTACACAAGGATGCTTCCACATAAATTTCAGCTTTCCTGGCCCAGTAGTTCTTGAGAAGAGGATTTTTAAAGATTTGTTCTATACTTTTCCATGTAAAACTTAGAATTCCCTATTGTGGCCCCGCCCTACCCCCGGGGGTCATGATTTTAACAATTTAGAATCTACACTAAACCAGGATACTTCCACAAAAATTTCAGCTTTCCTGGCCCAGTGGTTCTTGAGAAGAAGATATTTAAAGATTTGTTCTATATATTTCTATGGAAAACTTGGACCTACAGGCAGAGAAAGATATCATTTCATTTTTCACCATACTTTTTGATGCAACATGTTCCTATAAATGCATCTGATTGTTTTTCAAAGGTGCAGTTGCACACGTATGGGATGGAAACTAACTCGAATTAATATGGTTTACTGCATATTTATTTTTTTTAACAATAAAATTTTAAATTAAAAAAAATACTTGCTGTGGAAATTATTTTTGTTAACAAATTAATATTCATGATATTTGTATTTAAAAAGATAATTACTCCGGCACTCCATCATAATCCGCACCAATCCCCACGTAATCAACACCAATAAAATCCTTTATATATTCAATGTGATCTATAATGAAAGAAAAAGAAACCAACTGGCCATATGTAATACTAAAATGAAATTTATGAAAAGAAGAAGCATTTTTTTCTGTAAAGGATATATATGGAAGGCAATGGGGATGTATTTGAACAATTGCACGGTGTATAAAGCATAATGAAGCACACATGTACTTTGCCTTCTCTTGTTAAGCTAAGGATATTTTTATAACTTACCAGCAATTTCAGATATACTACTGTTAGAGCCAGTACAGTTTATATAACCTCTGTAAAAGTTGATCATTACAAGACCTTTGTTCTCTTTCTGTAAAATAAACACATCATTTAATATTAAGAAATAAACAACGTTAAATAGTTCTCTGGGAAATGAACCTAGTTGATCACCTGATCAAATCCTGTGAAATATACGTTCTCGTCCGAAAAATGCAGACTTGGGTTCGCAGTGGAAGTGGGTGGGTGGGAAGGAGGTTAGGTTGGAGCTTATTAGCTCACGTGAGCTGAAAGCTCAATTGAGCTTTACTGATCACATTTTGTCCGGCGTCAGTCCGTCTCTCTAGCTGATTGTCTGTCTGTAAACTTTTCACATTTATGCCTTCTTCTCCAGAACCACTTAGACAATTTCAACCAAACTTGACACAAAGCATCCTTGGGTGAAGTGAAGTCAAGTTTGTCTAAATGAAGGACCACGCCTTCTTTCAAGGGGATAAAATTGAGAAACACTGACATTTTGGTGGCATGGTTTAAAAATCTTCTTCTCAAGAACCACTTGGACTTGATGGATGAAACTAATGTGAAAGCATCCTCAGGTAGAGTAGATTAAAGTTTGTTCAAATCATGAAACCCGGGTGAAGGGCGGGCCTACAACGGACGATTAAAGTTTTATATAGGAATATACAGGAGAAATCTTTAAAAATCTTCTTCTCAGAACAATAGAGCCATGATTGGTAATATTTAAATTGAAGCATCCTCAGGTAGTGTAGATTCAAGTTTGTACAATTCATGACCCCCGAAGGTAGGGTGGAGCTACAATTAATGGACGATCAATTTCAAACAAAGGAATATATATAGGAAAACTTTTCAAAAAGCTTCTTCTTAAGAACAAAAGAGTCACAATTAGTCATATTACTATGGAAGCAACCTCAGGTAGTGTAGATTTAAGTTTGTACAATTCATGACCCTTGGAGGTAGGGTAAGGCCAAAATGAGAAAAAGCCACAGTAAGTCAAAGCATTATGCGAGCATTCTTTGTTAGTGTAGATTTAAGTTAATTCAAATCATACCCATCCCTATTTTAAGGGAAGGTTGCATTAAAGCTTGTCAATGCTGGATAGATTTTTGCTTTTTTTCCTAGCCACAGTGCTCAGGAGAGCGATGTGGCCCATAGGCCTCTTGTATATTAGCGGCACAGAATACCTACTGTTAAGTTTAGGACTTCGTCATTCACATTCCTGGCATGATTACACAAAGCGTAAGCCGACGAATGGCTGAAAATCACGGGAGCACGTGACACTCTCATGGCGTCTTTCTGCGTTTGGATGGAAGTGTGTGACAGATCTATTATCATTCCCAGACGATTCATTTCTTTAACGACTTTCTGCAATGAAAACATAAACAACTGAAGTCAACCACTGAAAGTTTTAAAAGCAGATGGAATATCGTTTGTCTACAAAACTCTTTAAAAAACTAAGCTTGGGACGGGGGAGTGGGGGGGGGGATAAGAAAGAGATGATTGAATGATTATTGTTTTTTACTCCGAGTCTGCAATATTTCAGCCAAATTTCGGCTGGGGAATCTAAATATTGTATAAACAGTACTGAAAATACATGCATGGGTTACTCTAGCGGTCCCCAAATGAGCCAACTCTTTCGAAAATCAGAAAAAATGATCTTTAGCGAACCGAGGGGGTGTAATCCTTGACATGGGACACCATTTAATAATTATTCAATTCGACGGACTTGAAGAGAGAGAAGAGGAAGAAGAATTAGAAGAGTTGAAGAAGGAAATAGAAGGAAGAGAATACAGTAGCAAAAATCTAAGTGTCAATGTTTGTCCAGTGACATTGAAGAAAGGATTCTGAGCGGGACAAACCATTGAATGCACACGGCTTTGTCATTCAATTGAGGGAGATTACGCAGTTTCTGCCAAAACATTCATTTAGAATATATTTTCAAATGTAATAGTTAACCAGTATTACACATCTTTCACAGGTATACCTCTCCAAAGCCTGTCAATCCCTTGTTTGGCGGGGGAGTCATTGTGTCTCCCTTATAATTCTCAGCCCTATAAAATAATAAATAAATTAAATGATAAAATTTAAATCCTTGTATACATCTTTGATTTAGTGGATAGGTAATTATATCTCCATAGGTAAAAAAAACTAACAGCAAAAATGAAATAACAATATTTTAAAATACAAAAAGTACCATAAAGTATCACAGCTGTGTGTCAAGGTCATGTATCTGACACCGAGTCTGTAGTACATGCGCAGTACGCCCAGGCTATTCCCAATCATGTGACCCCCCTCCACACCAATCAGACTTGCAATCTTCCCGGCATTAAATGCATCTGTTATACCTGTTATAAAAGACTGAATTTCAGGAATTCCAGGATTTAAATACTGTTATATATTTATGATAATTTAATGATATAAAATGTAGATATTACCTTGAGCAGTGGTGACTAGTTGGAAATCGTCATATTTGTCAGTGTACTTAAGAATAACATCAGTTTGGTCGAGACCTAGTCTTACACCATCTTTGTCAATAGAGTTGCAGCCGGCAAAGACAGCCCAAAACTACAACATAATTTTGAATAGTAACAAAAATTAATATAAGAATACATATATATATATATATATATATATATATATATATATATATATATATATATATATATATATATATATATATATATATATATACGTGTTTACTATTACAGAAATTTAGATTTTTAGCATTGTTAAGGTAGTATCTACTCCAGATATATCGCATCTAGCTTCCATGTTCATGGAGCATGGCGAAAGAGTGAAGGTAAATGTAAATAAATAATTCTAAAGGTGGATGTAGTGGATTTGGGTAAATTAACAATTTTGCATAATTTTCACTTTTTTTTAAATGTCCACGATATTAGGGCACAGGGGCTTGTCAACGTCTTATAATAATTATCTATTTAAAAAGAACATTTACGTAAAATTATACGTACACATGTATTTGATTTATAACAAAAATATATTACACGTGTGGCGCAGTAAGACACATGCTATTAGGCAGCATGTTCCTTCCTTTATGACCTTTTTGTGCACCACCTTTTTGCTTTTTAAGTGTTTTTTACCATTATATTATTGACTGGACTGTTTTATGTCATGTGATAAGAAAAAAGTATGTCATGTGGCTAATCTGTATGTTTAACTAGTTTATTTGTGATTAACTGTATATAATATTTTGTTTTAAGTCCAGCCAATTAATTGTTATATAACTTTTTGTAATATGTATTATAGATTTTATTATTAGTCATTTGTTGTTTGAATAAATGACAGTTTCACTCAATTGTTTTTAATAATTTTATACTAGAGGTTAAGCAAAAACGAGCTTCGAATAGCCAGAATTGTCTTGTCTAATAGTTGCATTATCAGGAAAATTTGTGGATATAAAAATATATTACACATCATGATCAAGTCTGTGTGGTTAGGGGGAGATCCTGCACAGCGTAAATTGCTGCTATTTCGTCGGTATTTTAGTGTAAGTTTATTATTTTTGAAAATGTTCATATTTATAAGAATATCTGTTCTAGAATTCAGTATACATACTTGTCCACCAACTTTTCCTGCTCTGAGTCGCGGGATGTCCGTTTGTGACGGAATTCTGGGAAAGCTCGTGTCATCAAATGGCAATGTCTCAGTCCATGTGTTCCGCATGTCCTGTCCGAGGTTAACCGAATACACAGAATTATTCGAATATTGTCTGAACTGCCAAGGCAAGTCATTATGTCTATATGAAAAAAAATATTGTGTACTGTGTATGCCAATTTTATCTCTCAAGTACATAAATATCAACCCCCTTCCTTTATAATTCCCCATCCCTTCTTCTCGTTAGAGATTGCTGTCACCTTCATAGATTGCAATAATACACAAATACATCCCTTGGTCCATCAAAGAGTTATAGATAAAAACAATTTGCAGGAAACAACTGGCGATAAATTGAAAACAACATGCTTCTTTGTTTGTATGTTTTGTAACGTCCCTCTCAAGAATTTTTCACTCGCCACCATTTGCCAATGGAAAGATGCAAATTTTGTCCTATACTCGGCATTAACGGCCATTGAACAGTTAGGGAGCTTGTTCGTATCAGCACCTACTGCGACATGGGACCTCGGTTTATACGGTCTCATCCGAAAGACCGGTCTCCACGTCCCACAGTGGGATTCGATCCTCCGACGTAAGGATCAACTCCTTACGCTGCGACTTCAGAACAGACGCTCTTACCTTAGAACAACGTGAGAAAATGGATATTTACTGAAATTACTGGAAAGACATTTTTTCCAATCAGAACAAATTTATAATTTTACTTTTTCTAAAAAAAAAACAGAAAAAAAAACAATCTCGTGATTTAAACTGAAAACTTTTATCCTAGGGATTGAATATTGGCAAACACTGAAACGCAATAAATGCTATTTATCTTTAGTTCACCAAGTATAGTTTCTTGAATAGTTTACCAATCTATAGTCTCGTTGTAATCTCATTATGGTCATGCCAGAATTATCGAGAACTCCTCTGGCATATTACCCTACTGAATAGTGATTACCAAAAAATAAAAGGTTCCGAATACATTATTTTATTAGACCGGTTAACTTGGATGATGTAATTTACTCTATATTCGAATCAATTAATTTATTAATCCTTTCCAACCTGTAAATACTTACCCGTCAATTAACGGATTATCGGTCAGTAAAGCTATTGCTCTTTGGAGCTCAACTGATTGAGGCCCGCCATTGCCGTCTGTATTTCGTTTTGAGAGTGGAATT